CCTGTGTGTGTGTTTTTCTCTGATAGGTCAAAAGGTGAGTCTGAGAATTTCAATTCCAATTTAAAATTAAATTATATTTGGAAATTAATTTTCCAAATTATATTTTAATTTATAATATTTTTAAATATAAATAAATAAATAATAATAATAATAAAGTATAAATGATTTTACGTGTAAAATTATCATTATTATTTTTCTTTTTCGAAAAGAAATTTTTCCTTCTGGTCCATTAAGTTATAATTTTTTTATCATGGATTTAAAAATATATGAAAAGGGGAAATGATTTGAGGTAGTGGGGGAGGGGGGAGGGGGAGGGGAGGGAAAGAAAGAGAAAATTAATTTTTATTTGTAATTAAAAACAAAAAAACCGCCGTCTTTATTTTAAAATTAAAAAACTTATCAAAAGTTGTAAAATACGTTTTAATTTACATTTTTAATATTATCGATAAAATAATGATAACAACTTAAAGCTATTAACATCATAGAATGTTTCACATTAAATGTAGTCAATTTTTACATTTGACTGATATCATTCGATTATTAAAAAAAATTTTAAAATGGTTTAAAAACCTTTAAAGTTTTTATAGAATAAAAAAGGTTTTTAACATACATTGTAATTAATTAAATTTTTTAATTTCAGAATTTTTGACTTCGTGTATTATTCGTTGCGTTTGTTTTAAAATATCTTCATGGATTTCATTTATATTTTTACTAGCATCGATTAACTAAAAAACAAGAAATTTTTTAATTTGTATGTCAATATTGATTTTAAAGGAAAAGGAAAGAAAAGTATGATGACTTACATGCCATGTATCATCTTTCATTTTAATGTAATTATCAAAAACAGATTGTTGAAAATCATTATTTTCATATCTTTCTTCGCCAAATCCTATTCTTTTTTTTAATACATTAACAGGAACATATAATAAAAATACTAAATCAGGTTTAGGTAGACCGATTTCAGGTTTATAACACCATTTGAAATCCATTCCAGGTTTGGCTGCCGAGTAAGCAACACCAGAAAATGAATATCTATCGACAATTAATGTAACTTCCTCGTGAAGTAGTTTTACCATTTTGGGCCTTGAAAAAAAAAAGAAGAAAACTTATAAGAAATGAGTTTAAAATCTTTAAGTCACAATGTTATATGTTTGTAAAAGTGATAAAAAAAAAAATTATTAACTGACTGATTTTCCCATCTGTTAGCTGAAAACAAAAGATGAACCGTTTGATCATTTAAATCTTCTTTTTTTGATAGATAACCATTAATGATACTTCCAGTAGAAGTTGTCCTATCTAAAAAAATTTTTTTTTTTTTTTTTATTATTAATTAAAACTTTCTTTATTGAGTTTAAGTATATTTAAAATAAAATAAAAAATAAGTAATTTGAAAAAAATATTTATTAAAACTGTTTTCAATTATTTTAAATAATCTATTAATGTGTAAATTTATTTTTTATTTATAAGTAATACACTTAAAATAATTGAATATTATGTTGAGTACTATTTTAAAAAATTGTACCAGGAAATTGCATGAATTGTGATTTGATTCCTAATTCGTTAAGTTTTTCAACTAATTTTTTACACTGAGTTGTTTTTCCAGCTCTATCACATCCTTCAAATACAATTAATGCTCCCCTTTTAATTCCTAAACCATTCATTATTAATATTAATAAAATTTGAATTCTTAAACCGTATTTAAAATCAGTGTTGCCAACCAACAGTTAGATTAGCGTGATTGCAAAAATTTTTTGTTATAACGGACAAATAATTGAATACTTGATGAATTATATTTTTATTTAAAAAAAAAATTAAATTAATATATTTGTACTATTTTATTTTTTTTTTTTTTTGACATGAAGTGAAACAAAAATTAATGAAATGACTATGTGTGTGTGTTTTTTTGTTTATTTATTTACAGGTTTTACTAACTTTTTACAATTGTAAAGTTACTAATCAGATAATAATCATCTACGGTAAGTTATCTGAATTTGTTAAAGTATTATTTAATTTTCCAAATTTTTTTTCGAAAAGTGATTCGAAATATGGTTTTATTTCGGACTCTGCGATAGTATCGATTTTATCCGATGGTAAATATATAAAATTATAACCGAATCCTTCTAATGTTTTAAAATATAATTCACCGATTCCAGTTATCATTGAAACATTTGCATAATGTAAATTCAACCAAGGTTTATGTTCCAAAATCAATATCCTGAAACCATATTGAATTGTTAACGATTAATTAACCAAACAAAATTTTAAATTATAAATTTTTTCTTACATTTTATGATTCGGTTGTAATTTAATATCTTCAACTTTAAACGTATATCTATTTTCAGTCAAATTTTTATAATTTGATAAATTAATCGGTCTATTATTTTCATCTAAAACTATAACGTACGCTAAAAAAAAAAAAAACAATCAATTCAATTAATTATTTCAATTCTTGATAAAAAAAAACAATTTTGGGAAATTTAAATTAATAATTACATATCGAATGTTGAAATGATGTTATGCAATGTTTTAAAACATAATCTTCGCCACCAAAACTCGGTTGTACAACGTTCATCCATTTATAAGAATCAACAGTTGAAAAAACATTTTCTGTCAAATTATTTATAAATGTATCTGTAAATTTTTCTAATCCTTTATAGTCTGGACATAATAATGATGTACATTGATAAAGAAAAATAATTTTCCATCTATTGTAAATATCTGAAGGAAAAAAAAACCAAAAATTATTGTTATTCACTCGTGATAATCAAACATTTGTGTTAATCGCAAGTAAAAAAAATTTTTTTTTTTTTTTTTTATTTACTCCCTTGATCCATTTCAATATTCGATGATTTTATGTAATCGATTGTGTTATCTAATAATTCATAATCGTAAATATTTAACGCCATTAAACTCAAACATAAATCTAATAAGTTTTTTTTTTTTTTATTAAGTCTCTAAAAAAACAAAAAAAAATTTTAATTTTATTTTATTTTATTCGAAATCAAAATTTCAAAAAATGAAACTTACAATTTCATTCATTTGTGGTAACGCCATAATTTTTTCTTTTAAACATTCACATGCCTCATAATTTATTTCCTGATAATTTGATTCTCCTATTATTATAATTAAATTAATTAGAGTTTCCATATTTAATTCGTTTAATGAAAAATTTGATGATAATATATTATCGCACATGTATTGAAGAATTGAATAATTAAAATGAAACTGAGGAAAAAAAAAAAAAAAATATGTACATGTTTATTAATAATATATTTAAATAAAAAAAAAAAAAAAAAAAAACATTAATAGAAGTTTGAAAAAAAAAATAACTTACGACATATTTAAAAGATTGTAATAGATTAATAATAGAAAAAAATTGATATTTTCTTCTAACTGCCATTGATGAGATTTCATCGAAAAAAAATTCATAATAATTAATTAAATCATAATTTATTCCTTTGGCTACAAAATATGTTCCAAACACAATTTGTCTTTCAAACCAATAATCGTTCATTTTCCTTTGAAACACATGTAAAAAATTTCTTATTAATAAATCAATATCAACAGATTTATTTATTAATTTTAATTTTAATATAAGTTTTCCAATGTTGAAAAAAAAATATGGTGGTTCATTATTGTAGTTATGATCTAAAATTAACAAAAATATATATATATATGAGTATTAGTAATGATAATTATTATTTTGTCAGTTAGCAAGTTTTTAGATATTAAATATTTACTTACTGAGTGCTTTTAAAACTAAATTTTCTTTTAAAAAATCGGGATAAATTGGATGAACGACGAATGAGATCAAAGTGTTCAAACTAACATTTAAACTCATTTTACTATCAAAACAATGAGTCATAAATTCCAAACAAGCCGATTTTAAAACTTGTGCTTCTTTATTTTTATTTAAATTTCCTATTTCCTTATACAAAATTAATACTTCTAAAGAATCGAGTAAATTGAAATTGTCGCCGAGTATTTTTAATACTTTTACATATAATTTACTATTTTCCGGAACGTTGAACGCATTGAGCATATTTAAAATAATGAGATAATGTTTATTTGTAAATTTTTGTAGATTTTTTTCTAACTCTGTACAAAATTTTAAAAAAGCTGGAGAAGATACAAAATTTTCTTTATCGCAATTAGTTCCAATGCTACGAAAAAAAAAAAAAAAAATTAGAGATTATTGAAAATTTTAGTATTTTATCGAATATTTATTAAGTTGTGGATTATGTACCTCAAGATATCATTAAAATTTTTACATGCTGTTATATAGGGAAACTGCGATTCAAAATTTTCATTTGATAGTAATTGTTCTGCTTCTTTGAAATTTGAAAATAATGTATTTTCATTTGATTTATGAAATTCTCCAGGTTTACCAGGAAAATATTTTCCTTCGTATGTTGGATTTGAAATTGATTTTCCAGAAGTAGATTTATTCGGATTAATTTTTTCTAATGCATCTAATTGCGTCATGTAGAAATTAATATTACTACTTGAATACTTGGAGTTTTTTATTATTTCTAAAAAAAAAAAAAAAAACTTTTGTAATATCTTGCCCACCCTATCCAAAAAAATTTATATAATAAAACAATATCTCCTCACCCCTGATAACATGGAATAATCCAAAATGTTCTTTATTTAAATTAATTAATAGTCCTGATGTACTCAAAACGGATTTATTTCTTAAAATTTTATGCATTTTTTTTTTTTTTTTTTTGGCAATTAAGTAATAAAAATTAATGTAATAATAATAATAATAATAAAATTGTATAGTACGTTAACATTTATTAATAAACATTATACTATTTTAGAGGTTAATTTTCAAACGCATTTTATAGTGTAAATAGAAAAAAAAATTTTAGACGTGGTTTTAGAAGAAATGTTTTTAGCATAGCTGATGATAAGGTGACTCATAATTAGAAAAAGTAGCAAGTCGTACTGAGTATCATAATTGAAAAACTTAGTTGTCATACAAGACTCCTATGGTATAAATAGTTGAGATTTTTTTTTTTTTTTTTGAAAAAATTACGTTATAATGGAAGAAGACATATCGGAAATACATCCGAATAGGAGCGAACAATTAGGTTTTAAACCGCAAAAAGAAATTATTTACAATAGATTATTACCCTATGCTGATAAATTGGACGAAGAATCAAAAAGATCATTTACGCAAATAAAAATAAATTTAAGTAAATCCGTATTAGTTCGTGAATTACATCCTGGTTGTTCTATTTGGTCAGCCCGATTAATGGGGTAAGTAAGATTTTAATAAATAATTGTTAATTTTAAATTATTCTTATGTGTAAACAAATCCATTTATTTCACTTTGTTTTAAAATTGTATTTCAAAACGTAAATTGTTAATTATTTCACAGGTATATTAAATTATACGGACTAAAATTTTCCAAGCAAGATCACATAGATTTGGTTTATTTAATGTACGAAGTTCTTCTTATTCCTAATTTGGAACCCCATTTGGTGTATAAGTTTGCTCGAACATTAATTATACTTCTTAAGTAAGTTTTTTTTTTTTTTTTTTAAAAAAAAAGAATAAAATTCATAATTTTTAGGTTAATTATAAAACTTTTAATACTACAATTTAAAGTATTAAGTGTGAAAGTTTTTGTAATATTAATATATTAAAATAAATGAATGTGTTTTCTGACAGAAAAAAATATTTGCTTTCTCCCGATGACATCACACTGGACTGGAGGCCTTTATATAACTTATGCCAAAAATCTCTGGAATCTAAATATGATTTATGCAGATATTATTCTCTACTGGAACACACTCTTGTTTTTCTCGTTCATTCTGCCAGACAGTGAGTGTATTTTACCTTTATTAAAATTATTAAAATTGTGTTTATTTTAATTCATACCGATTTTCATTTATACTTGTTTACCTATTAATTTAAAAAAAAAAAATTGTTTTTTGTAGTTATTTTTGTGATTCTGCGACGCAAGAAATTTTAGACGAAATCAAACCTCAGTTAACAATTAACTACTGTTCTCCTAATTCAATCGATTTCTTATCCTGGTTTCTCCCTATTTGTCTTCCACCGGAAAAAGCACATTTGGGATATGAACTTTGGCTTTCCGATATAATGAATTTGTGGGAAACTTGCAATAACAGCCCTGCATGGGAACCTGTAGGTATTCTATTCAACTTAATTGTTAATTTAAAGTTTTAATTATAAATTTCAAATTATAATTTTTTTGTTTGTTTATTTTTTTTTTTAGCAAATAATGAAATTGATTGCAAATTTAGCGAGTAGCAATGTGGGATACATTAATTGGGAACCCTACATACCGATTATGTTTACTAGATTTTTAAGGGCTTTTAGCCTTCCAGTTTCTTATAAACAATATCAAACATCTAAACTTCAAAAAACTGAAATTTCTTCCATAGCTCTTTGGATTGTTTCAACATTGGTTAGGAGAAAACAAAGAAAATTCTGTTTATTATTTATTTTAGTTCTATTATAACCTCATATAATATTGAATTAATTTTTTGTAGGACAGGGAGAGTTCCACTCAAAGATATTTAGAAAAATTTTTGAAAACGATAGAATCATACTTTCATCCAGCAAATTTTGGCGTTTGGTTTTTAAAACTGAAAGAATTACTAAGAAAATTACCGCAATATTTTATTCAAAGATTACAATAGTCAGTATGAATTTAAAGTTTTACAACGATTTAATCAGGTAGTACCTTAATTTGAAAAAATGTTTTCGTTTAATTACAGTGAAAGGTTTAAAAAACTAACTTGGGAAACTCCTGTACCCGATTCTAAAAAGCTAACCGAAGAAGACATTGACAAATTTGTTGAAAGCATGAAAAATGTTGCTATGCAAGCAGTTTTCTCCAAAGTCGGTTGTACCGATGCTTCTATAGCTCTCCAACATTTGGCTACTTTAAGACCTAAAATTATAATTTCGGGTCTCATCGAAAGGTAGGTACGGTTAATGACGATTTATTTTTTTTTTTTTTTATATTTTTTATTTAATTTCAAAATGTTGTAAAAAATATTATGTATAATTAATTTTAGATTTTACTGGACATTAGATTTAGTTACTGAGCCTCATAAATTGACGTCGGTTATGCATTGCATGTCAATGGTGGCAAGACCTTTGGTTCAAGGCGCACGTTGCGGTTATCCAGAGGGTCCGACACACGTCATACCTTTACTCATGTCTTCTCTTCCTGGAATAGATGCAAACGATTTAAAAAAATCATTTGTTACGATACAATTTATTTTAGTCTTAGTCACATTAGTTCCTTTAGTCGATTCTTCCAAAGCTTCCGATTATTGGACGGATCTTACCGAAGTAAGTATTAAAAAAAGGTCCATTTTAAAAAATTTTTTTGTTTTAAAAATCTCTTTTAATTATTTTTTAGGAGGAAGAAGTTATTTGTACGGCAACGGCTAGTTTCGAAGATTTTGTCGTTCAATTTTTCGATCGTATATTTAATTTTATTGAAAGTAGTTCTTTGGAGCCCGTTAGAATCGATAAGGATAACAGTAAAAGAAGTAAAATTGAAAATTTAACGGAAATAACGCTGTCGTCCGTTTCTTACGCTGTATTAAATCAATCTTCGTCAGAAATTTTCAAGGTTCGATTTCAAATCCGCGATCAAATTTTCTTAAAAATTAATAATTATGATAATAATATAAAAAACTTTAAATGGTTTTAATAGACAGCATTGAAGAAATTACACACGTTTGTCACTGAGAGAATTTTCGAAACGAAAGTGGCAGGACAAGTGGTGGCAACACTGTGTAAAACATTTTCCCGCGTGAATCCCGAAGAAACTTTGAAATGTCTTCTGCCGCATTTTTGCGACACGGTCATGAATTTAACCGAATCCGAAGAGGTTCAAAAAGAAGAGATTCTTAACGAAGAATTACATTACAATTTATTAATATTATCAGAAGTAAATTTAAATTTAAATTTAAATTTAATTTTTTGAATTAACGTCTCATTTACAAATTTAAATTAATTGAAATTTTTTTTTTGTTCAGCTCGTTGATTGTAGGTTTGGCATTTCACCCTACGTTCCACAGTTGCTAACCGTTTTAGACAGAACGTTGATGTTGGCCTCTAGAGAAGGTTACGTAATGGGATCTAAATTATTAGATCATATTTTATTATCGTTAACGACTCTTTGCCCGTTGGAAAATAAAGCTTTACTAAAATCATTCGATACGCACGTGAAAGATTATTTGCCTTTCAGGGTAATGAAATTAAATTTCGCGTGGTTTTTTTTTTTTTTAAACGTATTCGTACGTATTCTAAATGTGTTACGTTACAGGAGTGGGGAGAACCTACGACAATAAATAAATTAAACGTCAATTGGCACGTACCTGGTCCGGAAGAGCAAAAAATTGTTGAAAAAATTGTTCATAAATACCTACCGTTGGAATTGGAAAAAATAAATAATCATATAAACGATGTGCGAGTGTTATCCAGGACGGAATTACTTTGTTCCCTGAGTGTTATTTGCGGAGTACTCGGTGGTAATTCCATGCTTCCCGTTTGGGATGAAGAACCTTTAACTTTGTAAATTATATTTTAATTATTCTTATGTTTTTTGTAACTTGTTTGACAAAACTTGATGAAAAAAGAAAAGAAAAGAAAATTTTTTTTTTATTACTCCAAAATGTAGAATCGAAAGCGAACTCCAAGTTCAACCTTGGTGCATAACTCTTGGAATCGATGAAGTCGTTCACATGCCGGATGGTTCCAACGTAAAATATTCAATCGCTCAAACTATGGATAAATTGCAAAAGAAAATGTTGTCGTCGTCTGCTGAAGATGATACTAAATCATTATTTGCTATAATTCAAGTGAGTTGTTAAAAATTTTTCTGTTTTCATTTTAATTTTCCAAATGACGCATCAAATGTGTGAAGAAACTTTTCTTTTTTTTTTTTTTTTTCAGATTTGGGAACGACTTTTATTGAATAAAGTACGAGTTCAAAATGATTTCGATGTGACGTTGAAAAATTTTCAAATCACAAAAAAATTTTTTGAAAATCCATTGGTGAAAAAAAAACGTCAAATGAGAGTCATACTCATCGAACATGCTTTGCTTCAACACGAATCGAGAACGGAAAATACTAAAAAATGTCTCACGAAAACGCACAAAATGATTATGATTAATTTGTTAGAACTCAGTTGCAGTCATTACAGTAAGGTAAAGAACATTCTAGAAAGAAAGAAACGTAAAAATTTGTTTTTATTTCATTTGAATGAAAGTAAGAAAATTTTAAAATTTTTTGCATTTCAGGTAAGGATGAAAGCTCAATCAACATTGTTTAGAGGTCTTGTTTACTTCTCATTTTCTTATACCGTTTTAATACCAGATTTGATAAAAAATTTAAAAATCGATTCGACGGAAAATCACGAAAGATTTAAAGTGAGTTATATTACAAAATGTCAAAATTTTTTATTCATTATTATTATTATTAATAATATTTTTGCACATTTAAAATAAATTTATGAAAATGAAAAAAAAAAAAAAAAAATGTGATTTCAGGGTTCTTTATATGTTTTGTCAGGTCCGAAACAAATGCCGATGATTGCACGTTTCGATTGGAAAATTCTAGAATTGTGGATCGCTTTGGTTCGAGCCAAACCGTCGGAAAAACTTTCCGTCGTTAAATTAATTGAAAATCTCATGAAATCCGTTCATAAACATTTTTCTCTCATGAGCGTCGACTTGCGAGTTCCCGACGATTGTTTGGAAAAAGCCAAAATCGTATTGAAATCCGTGACGGAATCACCGGAAACGATCGTCACGCCGGAAAATATTCAAGTTGGAAAAATTAAATTGGAAGAAAAGTGCGAAAGGAATAGAAAATGTTACTACGACGTTTTGAATTCGTTTTACGAAACGATACAAAAAAATAATTTGTATGTGTCGTCGTCATTGATTAATTTAAACACATTTACGCTTAAGGTTTACTAAAAGGTTTTAATATTATTATTATTATTAATTTTAGGCATTGGCGATATTACTTAATGGCGATGTGTTTTTTAGGAGATTTAGCTCATCCGAAAATTCCATATCCACCGGAAATAGTTAAAATGTTTTTACACACGCTCATTAACGAGTCGTTAGAATTAAGAAAGGTGAAAAATTATTTTCCTTTTTTTTTTTTACGTTTTTCCAAAACAATGGTCACATTCAATACTCACATGGTAACCTTACAATACTATTTTGTAATTGTAATTTTAGTTAGCCATAAAGAGCACGTTGTACCTGTTAGTTCAACAAAAAAGAAAAGCGAAAAAGATTACGGTCGATGTTGCTACGGTATCGGGATGTCATCAAATACCCGATCGTCCGAAACCTGGAATAAGACCGGATAATCTTTGGCTTCAATACGATTCGGGAAAAGTTCCGAGGTGTAAGGAAGAATGGGATGAACCTAGATACGTGCATAAAAGAACGTTGGGATATTTTCAATGGCCAAAGTAATAATAATAATAATAATTCGTTACGTGGAAGTTACGTTGGTAGTTGATCGTTTGATTATTTAATTGAAATTTTTTTTTTTTTTTTTTAGGGAATTAAAAATCTACGGTCCGTCATACGAGCAACCCGTTCTCGATAGGTCGAATGAAGATTTACTACCGGAAGAAAGAGAAATTGAAATTTTTTTTAAAAATTCTCAAAACGTTGCTCAACTCGTCAAGTATTTATCGTTGGAAGATAAAAAAGGAAAGGATAAATTTAGCGGGACTAAATTTTGGATGTTTAAACAACTGTTTAGAAATCACGGGAATTGTTTATTTGAAACATTCAAACCTCATTTGGAAATTCTCGTCAAAGACAATCACGAGAGTAGTCAAAGATGTGCAGCAGAAATAATTGCCGGTTAGAGACACATGACATTTTTTTATTTGAAATTTTAATTTGGATTTTATGGCGGAAAAGTTATTGCTACTACCTAAAATAGTAGTAGTTAAATGAAAAAAGAAAATGAAAATTTCAGGTGTCATTAAAGGGAGCAAACATTGGCCTTACGACAAAATATCTGGTTTGTGGGAATTTTTAGGACCTTTGATAAAAACGGGTTTGTCGAACATGACGGAGGAAACGCTCAGAGATTGGGAAACTTGTTTTGCGAGCGCCGTGGAAAATTTAGATCCCAATCGAGTTCATTGGCTTATTGAAATATTAATGGATAATCCGCTGTCGGAAAAATCCTCGTTTCTCGGATGTGGGTACGTTTGCGTTCGGTTTAATCAGTTTTTTTTAATTGATCGAATAAAAAATAACTTGGAAATAATATTTCTTTCTCTCTTTCTCTTTCTCTCTCTCTCTTTTTCTCTCTTCCCCCCCGATTTAGGAGACTTTACGTTCTTCAAGGAGTTTTAAATCAACAGGAATGGAGATTGGCGGAATTGTACAAACGTCTCATTGTTTATTTCGAACCTTATCTTTGTCATCCGTTTCAAAACGTTCGAGAAAGGATCGCGTGGTAACAAAAAAAAAAAAAAAAAAAATAAATATTAAAATTAATTAATTAATTAAAGAAGGAGAAAAAAATTGTTTTCTTGATTTTTTTTTCTATATATATTTTCAGCATTTTAATTTACATATTTGAAGTGGATACGAAATTGTCGGGATCGGAGACGCTCGGACCACATCCGGAAATATTTTTGACTTCCCTCATCCCGAAACTTGAAGTTTTATATTCTTTGACCAATAATACGATGAATAATTTATCGCGTAAAAGTAAGTTTTGTAATGGTCACGTGGAGTCACGTGGAATCACGTGGATTTTTAAACGTTTTTAATTGTTGATTTTAGAAAATGAATGCGGCGTCGACGAATCGCCGGAAATGCGGGAAATAACGCATCAGTTGAACGAAGTTAATTTCGCGGATAGGAGGGATTCCCTTAATAAAAACGAAACGAATTCAATATCCCAAAATTTCACGGACAAAGAAGTTGTTTTTAGATTGTTTAAAACCGGTGGGTATCCCAATTAAAATAAAATCGGGGATTTCATTCGGGGATTCGTTTTGAAAATAATAATAATAATAATAATAATAATGATAATATTTTCAGTTTGCTCTTGGATATTCGGATCCCTGTCGAAAACGCACAGAAACATTTTACCAGAATATTATTTAGTTTTTCCTTTATTGTGTTCGTTGGAACATTACGATCAAGACGAAGAACTCGTTAAAATTTGTTCTTCGACTTTGGCAGCAATGTCGAGAGCGTCCATACTACCCGCGGATATTCCAATAGCATTGGAATCGATAAAAACGGTGAGAATTTGCAAACATTGGAGGAAACGATTATTAAAATTAAATTTTAATTACGGGAATATGTTTTTGTTTTGTAATAAAGGTGATTCAAAGTGGATCCTGGTTGTCGAGATCGTCTGTCGTTTTATATTTGCAAGTATTCATTTTTCACAACATGCCGTTGATATCGAGTTGCGAAAATTGGACGATAGAATGCACTACGATCGTTTTGGATTTATTAGAAGATAAAAGAGTCGAAGTGAGAGAAAAAGCAGCCGAAGTTTTGGGGGGTTTAATACATTGCGATTTCATAAAGAACACCAACGAACTTTTGGTTTGTTTGTTTTTTTTGTTTTTAATTTTGAAGATTTTCTTTTTAAATGGATGACGGGACCTTTTATTATTATTATTATTATTATTATCTTTCATCGATTTCCCGCAGGAACGTTTTATAAAAAAAGCAAAATTGAAATTAAATAAAAAATCAAATGAGGGTCAAAATCCGGAAGTGCTCAGAGTGAAACATTCGGGGATTTTGGGATTGTGTTCTTTTATAAATTCGTCTCCCTACGACGTTCCCAATCACGTTCCAGAAATATTTTTCATATTGGGAAATCATTTAAGCGATCCCCAACCCATACCCGTAAGATTTTTCTTTTTTTTCTTGTTTGTTTGTTTGTTTGTCGTTTGTTTGTTTGTCGTTGACTTATTTTAAAATTAAATATTTTTACAGAGCACGATAAGGAAAACGTTGGGTGATTTTAAAAGGACTCATCACGATGATTGGGATCGACACAAGTTGAAATTTTCCGAAAAACAACTCGAAGTTTTAAACGACATAAACGTTCCGCCATCTTATTACGCGTGATCGTTTTTTTTCCTTTTTTTTTTTTTTTTTTTAAATCAATTTAAAAATACGGTTAAAATGGGGAAAATGTTTTTTTTTTTTTTTTTTTTTTTTTTTTATACCTATATATCATTACAAAAGGTTTAAAAAAAATGATAATTGTTTTTTAATCAAAAAAAAAAATAAAATAATAATAATAAAAAAAAAAAAAGTAGGGGTTTTAGTAGTTTTTAGTTTTACGGGGAAGGAAGTTTTGTAATGTATATATACATATTTATAATTTTTAATTGTAAGGTAAAACGAGTTAAAAATCAAATAAAAATTGTTTATTATCATTATTATTATTATTATTATTATTATTATTATTATTATTATTATTATTATTATTTGTATTTTTACGAAATGTGTTGTTGTTGTTGTTGTTGTTTGCCATAATTTGAATTCATATAAAACATAAGGAAGTTAATGAAAGAAAAAAGCATTTATTTATTATTAAAAAAATTTTATTAATATGAGATTTTAATACGGTACAAACAAACAAACAAACAAAAACAAAAAAAAGGGATGAAATAATAATAATAATAATAATGTTTATTAAAAATTAAAACTATAAAATGAAATAAAAAGTGCTTTTATAAAATTGCCTTGAACAAAAAAAAATTTTCTTTTTTTTTTTATTTATCATTTAATTTTTCAATAAAAATCGGCTGTGATTAAAAAAAAAAGGGGATTTAAAAGGGGATTTAAAAAAAGGGATTTCTTTAGGAACTTCCGGTTTGAGTTTTTTAGAAAAAAAAAAAAAAAAAAAAAATGTTAAAGAAAACTAGTCAGAAGTTGAAATCATGAAAGGGAAAAAGTATGGAATGATAAAAATTTAATCAAGTCCAACGTTTGATTATTTAATTTTGATTTGTTTATTATTATTATTATTATTATTATTATTATTATTATTATTATTATTATTATTATGTTTGATTTAAATGTTTTGTATTTAAATAATGTAATTATTTACGTGTGAAATTTTACCAAAACGATTTTAAAAAATCGTTATTAAAAATTTTCCAATGTAAAATTTAAAGGTATAATAATTTTATTTAAAACTTACACATTATGTTCTTTAATTATTATTATTATTAAGTTACGTGCCTTTTAAATAATAATAATAATAATAAATTTTTTTTGTACACAATAAAAAAGAAATTGGCCTTAATTTTTTTTTAATCAATCAATATTTATAATTTACCTCGTTTTTTTTTTTTTTTTTTTAATAAGTAATTAATATTATATTATTATTATTATTATTATGACCTGCTTTTATTATTACTTGTTTGAAAATAAATATATTTAAATTTATTTTAAATAAAATAATGTAGTGTAAAAAAAAAAAAAAAATTTTTAATAAAATATTCTTAATATTATTTATATAAATAAATATAAAACTTGCCCCCCGCCCCCCCTCCCATTGAGAATCCTCCTAAATATTGGGTTGGCCAGTAAGTAATTTTCCACCAACAGATAGTTTGTCCATGTTATTGAGTATCACATTTTTGCACAGACATGAACTGTTTATAAACTGGATTCGAAGAAAGCCTAACCGGGAACCATACCCATCAAAACTCCTGAGCATGTCGCAAAAGCGTCGCTTATATGAAGAGGGAGGAGGACGGTCTTTGGGGTAGTACCTACATTTCAGTCAGTCCCCTCTTCAGGAAGCCAGAACGTTAATCCTTAGCAAGTGCCTTATCCTTAACACGTTTACAGTGGTGAGAGATCCGCCCTAGTCTTCGTTCCGCCGTCACCTCGAAGACGAGAACGCATCTCCCAGGACGTTTGGTAGATACCTTTCGAGAGTGCCCTCCGGTCCTTCGCACGGGGGGAGAGGAATGGGAAACTCGCCTGTTTCCTGAGAATGCGATCGGATGGGGGGATATAGACTTACCGTCGCCGCCTGAAAAGGGGTAAAGGTAAAAGTTAAGTGTTAGTTGATCGCATCCTCTAATCTCAAGGGTAACCTGGATCGATGAAAAGACAGACGTGGGATCGACCGGGAGCGTCGAACCCATACGAAATGTTAGAAATAAGAAAATTTTGACTCATCAACAACAAAGCTAAGTTCCTCGCCGTAATCCGCTGGTGATCATCATCAGACTTTAACCTCGTTAACCTCTTTAACCTCTTCTTTGCCGTCTTCGGCTTCGTTTTTCCTTCTTTTTCTTTTCAGGAGCATACGACGCCGAACTCCGGATTTTTCACGCTCGCGTTCGCGGTCCTCTTTCGTCCGTAGAACCGCTTCCAAAAATCGCGAAATCGCGGACCATTCCCCAGGTTCGCAAAGCAACCCGTTTGTTCATATGGTTGGTATGGTTCACCATACCGCGGATCGATAAGTCGGATCTGATGACCTCGACCAGCCGCTGCCTGTGTGCGTCTCACGCGGGACATACCGATACCGTGGGCCCGACGTCGTCCTCAGGAGCAAATCAAGTAAATTAATAAAATAAATTTTCAGGAAAAATTATTTGCTTCTATCGATCGAATTACAATGGCATGGCTCCCAGTGCTTCCACGATGACCGGAATTGTTTCTGTTTTCGTTCCCCACAACCTGGCTATTTCAATTTCTAAATTTCTGTACTTCAGCTTTTTGTCTGCTTCTTTGGCTGTCTCTCGTGTTTTTTTCTGCCGACACGGATACTCGAATCAGCTTACACCACTTTTCCGTATTATACCTCAGGATGATATCCGGTTTGTTGGCCGACTGCTAGGGTTTATGATATACTGATGTTTTCATCCCGAACGATAATGATAATAATAATAACTTCCGAAAAAAAATTTTATTTTCAAATTTTTTTGTTGTTTTTGTTTTTGTTTACGTTTTTTGGTTTTTTCTTTTTTTTTTTTTACGTTTTTGGTTTTTTTTTTGTTTACGTTTTTCGGTGTTGTTATTGTTTTTGTTTACGTTTTTTTGTTTTGTTTTTGTTTATGTTAGAAAAACATAAGAATGAAGAGGTTTATTTTTTTTTCAAATGACGAGTGAAAATGGAGGTGTGGATTTATAGTTAAAATCAGGTGTAGAAAAATTTTAAATCAATTATTAATAAATATTTTTATTAAATCACTTTTATTTTTGTTACAAAAGTTACAGACTATTTGTATATTTAAACATAAAATAATATAATTATTACTAAAAAATATAAAAAACTAATTACATCACAATAAACTAGACTTAATTACAAAATTTTTGATACATAATTTATAAATAAATTATTAAATAAAACTATTAAAATTATTTAAATAAGTCGATATGACGTAAACGCATATCAACCGTTGCATACTACCTTACAATTATTATTATTATTATTATGGTCACTTTTTACGCGCCAAGTACGAGCCGAACACCCCGTAACCCGTGAGGACCTGAGTGAGACGGTAAGTCAAATTTCCGTGACCCCGCCCCACCCAGTCCCCCACTCGGGGGCCAAGAACGTTAACGATTTCTCCCCCGTAACGCCTACGCCCGTCGTTGAATCGCGCCTGCCAAGTGTTAACAATTTGAGCACGAAGTTCCCTGCGATGACGAGCTGTCTTAGGCCCGCCGCGATCCCGCTCGCGATAGAGGACGAGTCTCTCCATCGCGAGGAGATCGAGCGGGGGAGTGCCCGACAGAAGACAAGCCACCTCCGCCGCGACGTCCCTGTAAGCCATCGCCATTAGGTTCAGAGACGCCCTTTGAAGTTGTATTGCCCTCTCGCGAAGAGGCCGAGCTGCCGAAACCGACTCGGCCCATATCGGAGCTCCGTACAGGGCCACGGAGTGAACGACCGTCGCGTATAATCGCCTGACCTTGGCCTGCGGTCCGCGCAGGTTTGGCATCAGGCGTCCTAACGTCGCTGACGGCTCAGATCTTCGGCCCGAGGTGCGCCAGATGTTCCCCGAAGTGAAGACCGGAATCGAGAACCAAACCCAAGTATTTAAGTGAATTACCCACTCCGATTCTGACGTTGTCCACGATTACCGATCGCGAGGACGCGGATTCCGCAGACGGTGAAACCCGCAAGCTTCCGTTTTCGGCAGAGACACCCGGAGACCGGTGTCACGTATGGCCTCCACCGTCGCGTTAAGTCCCGTTTCGGCGCGTTCGCGAACCTCCACCCACCCGCGACCGGTCGCGAGGAGCAGAGTGTCGTCGGCGTAGCAAGTCAACGATACGCCTTCGGGAAGAACGGTCCGGGTGAGGACGCGGTCGTAGGCGATGTTCCACAGGAGTGGTCCCGATCCCTGAAGCTCGCCGCAGAACACGTCCGCCCTTCCCGTTGTTCCGTCCGGTTTCTCGTACGCGATCTTCCTCTCCGAGAGGAAGGACCCTATCACCGACACGAGGTAGTCTGGCACGGACTTCGACGTAAGCCCGTCCCTTATCGCGGACCAAGGTACCGTGTTGAACGCGTTTTTGATGTCGATGGAGACGACGATCGCGACGCCGCCTCGGTGAAGCGTGTCCCGGATTCCGGCGCACACGCGGTCGAGTGCGTCGGTCGTCGAACGTCCCGTCCGGGAGCCGTACTCGAGGGAAGAGCTCTGCGATCACTTCAGCAAGAAACTCCTCCGTCATACCGGCCGTCAGCGATCCCGACGAACCTCTCAGTTTGTTAGTCACGATACGGAACGGGAGACCCCACGGATCCGAATCCGCTTCGTTCAGAAGTTCCTTCCAACACGCCTCCTTGGAACTCCATATCGCTCGCCGGACCCGAACCCGCGAAGCCCTCCACTCCGCCTTTAAACGCGCAAGTTCGTCGTTGTTCACGATGTCCTCGTAGCGTCCTCCCCGTTTAATCAAATGTCTTTTTCTGCCGACGAACCGGCGACGTCCGAGGCAGGACTCTTTCCACAATTCTCTTATCTTGTCCGACCACCAGTACTTCGGCCGTTTCCGCGTTTTCTAGCGCGCGCCTAACCTCTTCATGCAGGAATCCGAGATCCGTCGTAAGTCGTCCCGAACCCCCCACGCCATATTGTGCA